ATGGGCAGCATCTTGCAATATACGGCCGTTTGAATCGTAGAGGATAGGGGCAATCAGCACATGGCTGTGTGGAGGCATGGAATGGGCCACCCCCACACAACACTGTGCCAACCTACACGGAAACGTCGCATACTGCGCGAAAATGCAGCGACGGCCGAGACCACAGGCCTCCGCCACCTTCCATAGGTCTTTCCTACGCCAATCCGCACCGGCAGGCCTGCCGCAGCTCATCGAGGAGACTCCACTCAGAGCCTGAGCCTGAGAGCCTGCTCAGTCCCGCTAGTCGGTAACCGCTACCTGCCGCCTTCCCCCCCCCCCTTCCCCTCCCTCCCGGCCAGTTTCCCAGCCCCGCTCACCGGTATGTCTGGCGGAGGTCGCCGGAAAGGGCGGCGGCGCGCCGCTCCAGGTCGTCCACGTCGTCCGGCACGCCCTCGTCCAGGTACTCCACCTCCTCCTCGTCGCTGCCGCTGTCGGCGCCGCTCCAGCCATCCCCGCCGCCACCGGGGGCCTGTCCCGCGTCCGCCGGACACTCCTCCTCCTCGTCCTCCTCCTCGGTGCCCGCCGCCGCCCCATCGTCCTCGTCGTCTTCGCTGACGCCTGGTGGGCAGCGGCCAGTCACACGCGGACGGGCCCGCGGGGCGCGCTCGGCGCGCGGCTCCGGCACGCGCACACAATGGCCTTTCTGAATAGGGTGTCAGACCGAACGGATCCAAGGACGAGACCGGACTTGCCGAAAGTATTACGGATATTTTGTCACCGCCACATTGAGAACACACATAAATGTCAAGTAAGACGTCCCTGCGCTTGTATACAAAGCAAGGCAATTTTCGATTAGTTGCGATTTTAGGCGCCACGACTGCAAAGCCACAACGGATTCCTGCACTCTCGGGCAGGTCTTGCGAGCCTGGTGCTGTGAACTGCACTGGCAAGAACAGGACTTAACAGCAGCCGCATTGACCACGGTAAATAACGGAGCATCGCATGAATCGTCGTAAGCTTAGCACTGATAGTTAAATTACCCCTTACCCACTCAACCGCCCACCCACCCCAGCTCAGCTAACATTTAATAAGTGAGCACTTTTATACTCCAGAGACCATTTTTCATGTTTCACCGCCTAGCACCACTCGTGCAATGAAACCAAACCGTTTTAAACCAAACATAATCGGCCCATGCAGCAAGAACCCGCAAGAAACAGCTTCGTGAGTGTAATCTGAAGACGACATGATTCTGATCCCTATCATCGTCTGACTTGCATGTCATCGCTTTGCGCCTGACATTTATGAGAGCAGGTATGTGCCCTTCAACTCTGCCTTGATACGCGGTACGGAATAGGCGCCCGCCGCGGACGTGCCTTTAGACGTTAGCATGACTTCACAAATCACACATACTCACCGTTGGTCCGAGAGTGGTACGTGGGGTACCTGGGATCCATGCCGGAGACCGACCGACCTGTGGGAACGTAGCGAACTCAGTCGGGCGAACATCTGCAAAGCACTATCCGCTCGCTAACGTCGGACAGACATTCAACTGGCAAGACAGCATCAGAAACCATATTGTCCAGTTTGTTTTTTGGCAGCTTTGGCCGCCTTGGTTTGGTGTGTCGGTTTGGAGCTTAAAAATATCGATCTGCCGCCGGTGTGATTCATCATTTAAACACCAAAATTTGGTTGTCTGCTACTAAACTAATGCGAGCTTGCTGCTTACCGCCTGCAATGCTGCCCGACATTTCCAATCCCATGTGAAAACCTATATCAAACATACTGGCAGCACACGGTGACAAAGTTGTCTCCTTAAACAATGTTGGTCTTCTGCAAGCCGGCCATCCGGCTAGCCGCCGATGGCTCGGCCAGCCGCATCCAACGGCTAGCCGCCGGTGGCTCAGTCAGCCGCCTCTTGCTGCTCGCCGCCGATGGCTCAGCCAGCCGCCTCGTCCGGCTCGCTGCCGGTGGCTCAGCCAGCTGCCTCGTCCGGCTCGCTGCCGGTGGCTCAGTCAGCCGCCTCGTCCGGCTCGCTGCCGGTGGCTCAGTCCGGTTCGCTGCCGGTGGCTTAGTCAGCCGCCTCGTCCGACTCGCTGCCGGTGGCTCAGCCAGCCGCCTCGTCCGGCTCGCTGCCGGTGGCTCAGTCAGCCGCCCCGTCCGGCTCGCTGCCGGTGGCCCAGTCCGGTTCGCTGTCGGTGGCTCAGCCAGCCGCCTCGTCCGGCTCGCTGCCGGTGGCTCAGTCAGCCGCCTCGTCCGGCTCGCTGCCGGTGGCTCAGTCCGGTTCGCTGCCGGTTGCTCAGTCAACCGCCTCGTCTGGCTCGCTGCCAGTGGCTCAGCCAGCCGCCTCGTCCGGCTCGCTGCCGGTGGCTCAGTCAGCCGCCTCGTCCGGCTCGCCAGCCTTTGGGTGGCTGGGCAGCGTTGAGAAACGTATGAGCAGAGATTGGAGCTACAAATCTGGGAGGCACAAAACCGCAAAACCACCCAAGAAACTTGCTGGATGTAACAAGGAGGGTTTTGAACTGGTTTTTAATCACAAAAACAACATGCAGCTAATTCAGAAAATGTTTGGTTACCATTGGATATATTTGTTCTTGTTCATTGGACGCCATATTTCAAAAAGACTAACGTAACATCAAGCAATGATTTACTACTTTCACGGCGCAGCAAGATGCTACTCAAGCAACCCTTGGGATGCCGCACTGTTTGGAAACACCTTACGAAATTTCCCAACATCTGGCGGACCTTTAGAACTTCCCCGAATCCGCGG